ATATTCAATTTCCTGCCCATCTAGATGTAACGCTAGACAATCTAAAGTCGTTTGTGAGCAGCAATACGGCGCTGTACATTGGACGCGACGGCTGCCTGAAGCAGTTCAACGATGCGCTCAAGAACTATGCCAACAAAGATGATGCCGAACAGCTGGCCTTGATTCAAGAGATGCAGCCCCAGATACAGCAGTTGAGCAAACCCGACGATCAGCAGCATGCCAAGGTCTATCTGCTGTATATGCAAAAAATCAATGAGCATGGCTATGGGTTTGTCGAGGAGGAGACCAAGCGCCTACTGCGCCTCAAGGCCGGCAAGGTGACGGCCACTAAAAAGGTGGAGCTGCAGCACAAGCTTAACATTCTCGAAGCCTTTCGTGTGCACAAGCTGACCAAGACGCGTCCGGAGAAGGCCAAAGCGGAGCTTTGAGCCAAAAGAGTTCAACTAGACAATTATTCTGTAAAGCCAACCAAATTTCATACTTTTAAACCATAAATAGGCCCACAATTGTTCATTAAAACCTAAATGTTACCAAAAAATTGTTTGTTATGTTTATTCGTTTGCCATGGCAACAACGACTCCAGCTAAGGCTTGGGTAAAAAAGGACGCAGGGGCCTCTTGCAGACGCACAAGCATAACACAGAGTGGAAGGGAGCGTAAGAAATTTGATTTGGATTTTATTAGAAAATTCCACTTGCATAATTGATCGAGACGTCTGCAGGCTGCCTACATAAGAACGCATTTATTAATATCACCCCAAAAGTATGCAAGGCATTTTTAATTTGAATGCGCTTTAAAGTATGCAACAGCTGTTAAGCTGCAGGGGAAATTTTAAAATAAATTCCCTCAATGCAACAGCCAGAGCCAGAGAGAGCGAGAGAGCGAGAGAGAGAGAGAGAGGGAGAGTGGTTGCGAAATGGGAGTCATCTAAAACTGCACGGTAGAATTTAAAAATGTAAAATAATTAAAACAAATTATTTTAATAAATTATTATTTAAAACAATTGTAATCCTAAAATTTTAACCAACCCATAAGCCTCCATTTGGCAGCTTATTCAATGGCATGCAATATACTGACCCATTGCAATACATATGAAAAAGCGCCATAAACTTGTCTGCGTGTGTGTATGCGTGTGAGCTCCATCTGGCCGCTCTCTTCGCACTCACGTGGCCGATCGCAACAATGGCGAAGGCAAAGTCAAAAGCGCATTATGGCCGCGTTTGCTTGCATTTTTTTCTCAGCTGGTGGAACGGTTGGAGCCGGAGCAGGGGGGAGGCTGACTTGAGTGTGTGTGTGTGTGTGTGTGTATGTGCATGTATGTGTGTTTGCGTTGTTATCGCTCATTTTCACTTTAATATGAGTTTTTGTTGCTGTTGCTTTTTTTGGAGTTTGCTCTTTTGTGCACGCTGCGCTGTTGGGCAGCCATATTTATTTTTTTTTTTGTGTTTTTTTTTTTTTTATTTTTTGTTGCTGGTCCCCGCAGCGGCAGCAGCAAAAGCAAACGCACTAAAGTTGTGTTGTGTTTTCTTTATTCGTATGCGAAAGTCAATGAACTTTTTCGGTGTTGTCTATGCATTTCAGATGTTTTTATTGTTGTTGTTTTGCGATAAGTGCCCAGTTCGGCATTCGTATTGGTGTATTGAACATGCTGCAATGACGGACACAAAAACAAAAAATGAATAAAAAAATAAATAAATAACAAATGAAGTAAATTACAAATCTCGAAGCTTCACAAATGCTGTTCCGTTTCAGCAACGAGTTAGGTCGAGTGCAGTTTGGGTTTGGGTTTGGGTTTGGATTGCGGAATGCATGAAAAACGAAAACTCATGACCAGCTTTCTATTCGTACAGATTTTTTGCGCTTATCGGCCAATTAATCGACGATAAATAAACAGATCCGCAACAATGCAAAAATGTGAGAGGGCATGACAGAGGGAAGATAGCCCGCGGCTTGCCAATCGTTAATTCTTATCTAAAATGAGACCTTTGACCCGCAGCTGGGTCAATTTAGAGGCAGCTAAAAAAGCGGAAAACTCAATTGGAAAAATTGCCAGACACGCATTCTGCTGGTTTGCAGTGTAATGCTGCGAAAAACGAAAAAAAAAATATACAAAAATGAAAGAAGGAAAACAATTTTCACACACTCTGAGCAGTCCGTGGCACACCTTAAAGGAGCACACGGATCATGCAAATGTTTGCATTTCCACGCAAGTGCAAACCCCAAGATAATCGATCCATCAGTCAGCGAACCCTTTACACAAAGGTTTTGGGAAATTGAAAGCGGATCGCCCACGCTGTCAGCCAAGCGTATGGAGGAACCCTTCTCCTCATTATCATGTGCATAATCAGAACTTCAATTGCAATGGAAAATCGGATCGGGAATGGCGCAGCAGCCGGAATAAACAACAGCAGATCAACGTAATTTGAGAACCGAATTGAGAAATTGTTGATCGCAGTCGACGCTTTTTGGCCAAAGGCAAAGTCATAAGGTTGCGTGTCGCCATCTTCTAGATATTATATCTAAGCAATATTCAGGTAATTTTTCGTGGACTACCTGCTGTGAGATTTACGTTTATGCATTTCAATTTCATTGTTTTGTTCGTTCGTTCGCATTTTGGCCATAAAACAGGTTCGGGCCACAAATTTATCTCGCGCTGCAGATCGCGTCTAGAAGCGAGGCGAGCAAAGAACTCTTCTATTCAGCCCGCCTACTAGTTGACAATCAGAAACACACACACACACACACACATATATATATATAAGTATATATTTGTATCAAATCGGCTTTTGGCGCAGCACTAATCGAAGGGTTTGAAGTCGAGGTCAGGTCAAAGCAAATGCATTAAATGTGTAATCCCAGATATGAAATCTGAGCGAGACATCGTCGTCGTCGCCGTCAGAGTTTGACTTTAGAAAAACATTTTCACGACTCGGCCGAACCTCTGATGATCGTTTTTTATTATTTTTGTTTCTTCTTTTTGTTTTTTTGCGGCTGCTGCAGCCTCTTGGGCTTGGGGATCTCGCTGGGACAGGTAGCCGCACATTTTGAAGCGCTTTGCGCATTAAACCCGAATTTTCGGTTCGTTTAAATGCGTTTTTCTCTTTGAAAAATGTTTCATTTTGAGGTTTTTGCTTTCCTCGAACCTTCTCTGATTGCATTGCTGTGTGCTAGCCGCGCCTCAAACTCGGACACAGCCCCAAATCTAACCTCAGTTAGATGGCTGTCATGGCTTAATTGTCTAGGCCGCGGCGCAAAACTTGCTTCGAGCTGCGGGAGGAGTGCCGTGCCGTGCGAGGGGTTGGGAGCAGAACAACGTCTTGGTCGATTGGCGTTTTGGGCCAGCCATTTTCTGGGTCCGGTCGCCAACGTCACCGGCCGTTGCACCGCATGGACAGCGTCGAGATGCAGATACCTTTCGGAGTCAATGACTTGTGAGGCATGTTGTTTGGGTTTTTAGCGCCTGGCTTAAGAACGGTTGACAGATTTTTACATAAATGCATATGCACCAGGTCTGGAGCATTGTTAATTAGTTTGGAAACGAAATGCAAAACTGTAACTTGATTTGGAACTCGAGAGCTATCCGATATCACCAGCATCTTTTCTACTTCATTGTCTTGTTGACGGAACGCCTTTGAGGTGAACCCTCTCGAGTGGGAACAGGGGTGCGATTATCTCGGCTACGGTCCAGTTCGGCCCTCATCGCCGTTGCCTGATAATTACTGTCAAATAATTGGCAGAAATTTGTTTGCTATTTAATTGTAGCGCTTTTCACCACTTCCAGTGCCCAGTTGCACTGTGAGGCCGCGTGTCCCGCGCCCTCCAGTGCGCGGCCCTTTTCAAATACATTTTCACAATTTCTCAATAAATTTTCTTTTATTGACCAAGATGCGGGCGCCCATCTCATTGCCGTTTTTCGGCTACATTTCTATGTATCTACTCGTCGTATCTGAATTGCAATTGCAACATTTTTCGAGCTGCTCATGATGGCAGCTTTATCGCCATCCGAGCGGGTCATTGACTCTGTTTGAGAACACTCTTCGCGCTTACAAATATGTATGTTAGAAATGCAACATCGGGGTCGTATATTCTTCAACCGCGAATAATTACTGATTTGCACATCCACAAGCTCTGTGTGTGGGTGCGCTATGAGATTTTCAAGATCCAGGCTCTGGCGTAGCTCAGTCTGGCAGTTAGCAGGATCCGAGGACAGCCTGTGGAACCTGCATCTTTACGCTGCATTTCGCTGTCAAGCTGTGCCCGTTGATCGCTATCAAAATCCACACAAAATCTCATTGTACTACGCGGGATTCGCGGCGTTCCCACAGTTACAGGCAACACACAGGACTTCATTGTCTACGCACACATCTATTTTTTATATCAAAATCGAAGATCGACGCTGAATGTGGCAAGCCAAACCCAAAAGTCACATGCGAACAACAATGGCTCGAAGCGATTGCCAGCTTGGCCATGGCCAACAACAAGAACCAGCTAGGAATCGCTTAAGGTTAACACATCGCAAACAATGGCCGCGCAAATGGACTAGCCATACATAGCGTATGGTGTTGTGGGGCAGGCAGGAGGCAGCGAGCGGGGCAAGTGTCGCGGACGCAACGAGGGTAGTTGCAAACCAGTTTCGAATACGAATACGCTGCTGGGCAGCCTGTACCTGTCGACCTGACGGCCGCCTGTTGCAATGCTGCTGCTGCTGCTGCTGCTGCTTCGTGCCCTGCCTAATTTGGAGGTAGGGGTAAACACTGCTGATGTCTGATCCACGCTGCCTCCTCGAGATGCTGAGTCAGCGACCGAGTGGCAATTCTCTCAATTTTCATCAAAGTGCGCTGCAAGATCGCGCAATGGAAATGGACGTGTGCAGGTGCCGCTCACAAGGACAAACAGTGACCGATTGGGCGATACCCTGCAACCAGATCCGAGCAGATAGAATATACAAAAAATCGAAATATACTTGACATGTGACACATTGTCGTATCTCTAACTGTCAAAATTTTACTAATGTACTCCACAGGCAAAATCGATAAATAATGAAATCGGAAAATTGAAGGATGACATCCGAAATTAAATCAAATATTTCAAGCATAAGTAAATATTATTCGTGTTGTTCTACAAGATAGACATGTTCACATGTCTTTAACATCCCTTTTTAATCATTCTCCGTGTTTACAGGGTATAACAAGAAGTCACATTCTAGCTCAACGTTAGCAACAATAAGAGGCACAAAGTCAAAGAAGAAAGGGACTTAAAGAAAACAACGCACACACACACACACACACACACACACAGACGCACACTAATGCACATTTTCATTTTCGACTATAAAATTTATTCGCATTAATCGCCGTCAAAGATAAAATTAACGAAAGAATAGACATGGTCAGGGTCAGGGTCAGGGACAGGGACAGGGACAGGACGAGGGACGGGATACTTCTAGCCAGGGGACGGCATGATAAGGCAACATTGACACCTTCAGCTGTAACTCAAATGGGCACGAATCTACCTGCCGATACGCTGTTGGCATTGCTGACAGTGCCAGCGACTATCTAATTGTACAGGACCAGACGCTCCTCAGACGTGATCTGTGTGTGTGTGTGTGTAGGTGTGTGTGTGTGTGAGTGTGTGTATGCCAGCTAAAGAGCAACAAATTGGCAGTCTTCTTAGGCAGGACTGTACATTACCCAGCGATGCACTTGTCATCGAAAAGATGCCCAAATTCCTTCTGGTTTCTTTAGTTCATATTTTTTGCCTATTTTAAGCGAAAGGTATCCAATGTCCCGGCAGGGGAAGAGGTCTTAACAGAGGCGGGGCGGGAACAAAGTGGAGTGAAGCGTATGCGTGTGTAATTAAGTGTCGCAAAAAGACGCAGATAGGAAATGTACTGGGCGCTAACATGTGAAGGTAATCAGAGTCCGATGGGGTCTGAGTGTATGCGTGCGTGTGTGTGTGTGTGTGTGTGTGTGTGTATGTAAATAGGAAAAGCATGTTGTTGTGCGCCATGGTCGGCTAACAGGATGGAAGCGCCGTGTCCCATGCCAAGGCTGAGGGTGATAAAAATGTTCATGTAAATTGCAAAAAACAGTTTTTATGTCCCATTGCCGCATTTTGGGATGGAGGAGGAGTAAAACGAGACGGGCAGGCGGCTGCGTGTGAAGTGGTGCAATATATTAGACAAGGGCGGTTGGAGCTGAATGCTCCTCGCCAGTTTGGATGAGGCTGATGCTGACGCTTTGGCTGAATGTTGAGTGGGTGGATTGTGGGTTGCGTTGCCGCTTTGAAGTGTCGGCAATGTTGGGCGTAGTTTTGGTTCTATTTATAACGCATCAATGTTTCTGCCCTTTGTGCCAAACTGATGCTGTTAGTGAAGAGCAGCGAATATTTAACGCATGCATGCTACACAACACTACCAGCAAAGCGGTTAAAGTTGCGCAACACTACACAGCAAGTATGGCCCTTGCTGTCAAATTATAACGAGAAGCTGTGTATGAGATATTCGAGCAAATTATCAAATGGGCATAAGCCAATCGGATGTCATAGAATCTGGAAAGATTATTGCGACCTGTAGGCCCTTCGTTCTTATCTTGTCCACAAGCTTTCCAGGATTATCATACCATACGATATGGTAAGTTGTAAATAAGGTACGTATTCTTTGCCATTTTCCCATCATAATCGCAGTCTTCCTCTAAGGCACTTTTAATCAAACTGAAGATTCCGAATCGGGTGCAGCCGGATGTGATACCGCCGCCCGACTCAATTGGCATTTACTCAAACAAGATGCACTACATGAAGAAGCATCTGCTCGATGAGCTGAGCACGAAAATGTTCGCTCTCGATTTTATGCAGCCGGTGGACTCGGAGGCTCTACAGGTACCCACATACTACACAATCATCCAGCGTCCCATGGACGTGGGCACCATCATCAAGCGCGTGCAGAATCGATATTACCACAGCGTGGATGAGCTGATAGCCGACTTTAGGCTGGTGATAAGCAATTGTTATACATTTAATCGGCCCGAGGATATGGTCTATCGCAATGGCCAGAAACTGGAGAAGTTTTTTCTTAAGGTGCTGAAGAAACTGCCAGAGGGCCTGGAGGTGGCCTGCAACAGGGATCCCCGAGCAGTGTGCAGTCCGCGCAGCAGCGAAAAAGCCTCCGCATTCACGGAGCGCAAGTGCCGCGAGCAGCTGAAGAAGCTGCAAGGTTCCAACACAGAGCAGGCCGATGCGGATGCTCGCGACTTCTATAAGGAGAAGCTGAGTGCGGTTTCAAAGAAGCTGAGCAAACATCATTTCAAGACTCTCGAAGACTTCCACTCGCATTTGGACGTAACCTTTCTGCAATCGCGGAATCAGGCAAGGAAAATTTTCGAGAATGCATATCACGAGACTCTCGATAGCATATCCTATCACATGCAGAACAAGGAGCTGAGCCAGCTGTTCTATGCCCTACAGAAGGACCAAAACGGTTTGAGGAGAGGCCAACAGCAAGGCAAACAGTCCAGGTGGGAGGATAATCTAATGGACGAGCTCGATGCTACTGTCGATAGACTTGGCAGTAAGCTGGACTCGTGTCGCCTGGACGATGAGGAGGAGGAGCCGGATGAGGATGAGGAGCAAGAATATATGAAGGAGGAACAACTGATAGCTGCAGAAGGGGAAGAGGAACGCACCAGCAACAGTCAGGGCCATAAGCTTAGCTCGTATATGAACGGATGTGGAGCCAATTTACCTAGCGCCAAGGAGACAAACGAGTCGATGGACTGCGTCAGCGAGGTGGAACGTCGGGCCATTCAGCAACAGTTCGTAATGCTGCCGCTGAACTCAAAAATCGAGATAATGCACATTATTGCGCAAACCGAGGACATATCCACGGACAACTGTGACCTGCAGTGGTTCGACATCAAAAACTTTGGCGCCGAGACTTTAAATCTCATGAAAAAAGCCATGCATCCGCACACCAAGCTCAATCTGCGCAACATGAAGCCCGACGAGAAGGAGGACCTGCAGCGCAGCCTCGAAATGCGACTGCAGAATATAAACCAAGCGCTCAACGGCAACCGTCGCAAGTACACGCATAGAATGCGTATTCGCACCGCCATGCCGGCCAAGAAGAGGCCGCGCTTCTCTGCCCCGAGCACGTCGAAAAAGAATTCCAGCGGCGCCTCCAGCTTACAGCAGCAGCAGCAGCGACAGCTGCAGTCAGGTGTTGGCTCCTCCAAATCTGGACTGGGCAGGCAATTGCAATCGCAGGACAGCAGTAGCGAAAGCGATTCAAGCAGCAACAGCGATTCCAGCAGCAATAGCGACTCCAGCGACAGCAGCGACTCCTCCAGCGACAGCGGCGAGGAGGCCAAAAAAAGAGGCTCATTATAAGAGAAATGTACACATTTGCATTCGAATTAAAATAAACTGCCAGATCCGACATGCCCGGTCATTGACACTTTTTTGGCACTAGGAAAACAGGAGAATCTGGAAAGCGCATCTCTGCTGTCTATACAGCGATCACGTAGTTGGGCGAATTTTCACGAAAAATTATGCAAATGAATGAGAGTTTCTCACGATCGGCAAAAAGATGCCGAGACTCTACCTGACACCGTAGACTTGCCTAGGAAATTGGAGCGACAAAGATCATTTCGATCTCTGTCGTTGGTTTTCCATTGAAAATTTGCATAATTTTTGGTAAACAGCACAGATTTTCACTTGGCGAAAAGGGTTGGCAAGCGAAGATCCTAATTTGCATAAGGTGCCTGGGCTTGCGAAATGGGCAAATAGTGCGCTAAACGCAAAACGAAAGTGAAAATCGGAAAATGTGAAAAGGACCAGACCAGAGACAGGCTCAAGGCTCAAGGCTTAGACACTAGACAATCGCCCAACAGGGGTTAATTATGCGCACAGTGGACGGCGCCAGACCGGATCTCACAGCATGCCGGCACGCTCGCACACCCAGCTCCTGGCAGGGGGTTGAACAGGGACAACAACAGCGCTAATTTGCATAACATCGAAAAGGAATTGAAAACAGAAATAGAAATAGAAACAGGACTCACTGTGATGTGATGTGCCTGCAATCTATTTCCTTGTTATTTGGCCAGGCAAAATTATGTAAATTATGCGTGCAAAAACATTGAGAATACTTTCTCACGCTCAACTCCTTAGCTGGGTCTTGCTCACTTTGGGTTTTCCAAATTTTGCGGGTTGCAGCGTTCACTCTTCTGTTTGGGTTACGTCGCACCGGGCAACAAATCAATTTTGATCGATATTCATTTAGCTCTCGATTGATTTGCTCAATTTGCATATTTTGTACCTTCTTTGAACTTAGCAAAGGCGAAAAATATGCTAATTATCTGGGCATTCAGCTGGGTGTTTTTAGCGTCTACGAAAGTAACGTAGATGTTTGCTTGACATCAGAAAATGATCTATTTTTTATTCATGTTTAATTTTGACCTTGAAAAGCCCCAATTGATGCTCTTTTTGAGCTGGTCTCATGCATTTTTTCTCCATTTGTTGTTTAAAAATTGCAAAAAATAATTCACATTTGCTTTGCACGGATTTGCACGGCTTTGCACGGCTCCTCCCATCATTGCTTTCCACCACCACCAGGTTTCTGGGGTGTCTGTTGCAACCCCAAGCAAGACCCAGTCGGAAAGTTGCAAAATCGCCAATGCCGTTTGCCAAAAAGCGATCGAACCGTCATCATTGCAATTAAATTGCAAATGCCAGCCAATGCGCGTCGCAAACAGAAACACAAACAGGAACAGGAACAGGAATAGGAACAGACTTGGGACTTAGCTGAGGTGAGCAACCACCGTTGAACTAGAACCCAGCCCAGCAGCTACCACCCGGGCGAATTGAATGTATGAACTTTGATGTTGCCTCTGTTTGGGCAAAACCATAAAAAAATCCGCAAAACGAGGGTTGTGTCTCGTAAAGTACTTATCGAAACACCCCAAGCACACTCTCTCTCCTGCCTAGCTCTACGCACTCTGCCAACACACATTATTACGCATAAATGTGGAGTGCGTTGCGTGTGGCATGCACACACACACACACACACACACACCCGTAGACGTTTCTCTGTATCTGCTTATTTTGCAGCGACAACATGCAAATTTTTTTCATTCATTCGCCCTGTCCGGGGGTTGAAGCCAAAGCTTAGCTGCAACAGAGGCCGTAGAAGTAGAAGTCGTAGCAACAGCCACCACCCCCGGGTCTGCATTCCGCGCCTTTTTTTGTGGCATAGACTGCGATTGCTGTTGTTGTTTTTTGTTTGGCGCTGTTTATGCTTAAGAGTAGTCAAATAAGAATCGAGAGTTGTTAAGGTTTATTTTGGTTATCATGCTCCTTATCACTGGCACAACTTCAGGAAAATATAGTCATGCACAAGTATTTTTATAAAAAGCGAGAAAGAAGGGCTATCTCCGGCATGCCGAAGATGTGTTACTCTTGCAGACCGAACCTAAGAAACACAGGGACCAATAAAACGCTTTTCATACAAGAACCTCATTTTCGACCGATCTATATGATATAGTGGTCCGATCCAGCCGGCGCCGATATATGCGCATATGTACTGCGTGCAACAGAAAGAGGGACGTTTGCAAAGTTTTATGACAATAGCTTTGAACCTGTGTAACTAGTTCGCATAGAAACAGACATACGGACAGACGGACAAGGCTATATCGATTGATCAAAAATATATATACTTTATAGGGTCGAAGCTGTCTCCTTTTATGCGCAACACATTTCAAGACAACATTATAATACAGGGATATAAAAGAATTATCTTCACGAAAGCTTTAAGCCTGCGAAATTGGTTGGCACAGAGAGTCGAACATGGCTGATCTATATAGATGCCTTACAAGTCTTGAATATAGGACAAGAACTCGAGTGAAAACCTAAAGGACAAACATTCGATGTTAAAAAAGAAAACGAGTGTCATATTTGGCATAAATTAAACGCCATAGTTGGCGACCCGTACACCCGTATGCAACAGCCATCTCAAATAAGGGCGACGACGAGGGATAGGTTACGGTTTGGGTTTTTTAAGCGACAAAAAAGAAGGAGCAGAAGGAAAACGCGCACTCGTCGTGCTTCACACGCGCAAGGATCTCGAAAAGTATCCAATTACAATAGATAGCTGGCAGTTTTGACTTGAAATATGTTTGAATTGTCGCATTTCTGTGTGCTATTCTTTCCCATTTCCATTCCCATTCCCATTCCCAATCCGAGTCTCATTCTCACTCTCCCTCAGCCGCACAGATCCTTTGTCTTGGCGTGGAGCGTGTACGTGTGTCAGACGTTTGCGCTCTTCTCTATTGTTTTGTGACTCGGCTTTTATGCCCTTGCGTCTTCAGGCGATTGATGAGCGCGTTTCACTTTCGTTTGGACATCCTTTATTTGCAGGATTGCTTTATGCTGGACGTGTGGCAGTCTACAGTTCCCTGCAGCTCCGTGGGCATTGTTGTGACTTGTTGACCTTTGTGGGTAAATTAGGCGCAGCCAATAAGGCATTATGAGTACTGGCAATTATGCAATCGTTATTTCATTTGAATGCCCCTCACGCATCTTGGCGACGTGCCACACAAGCATTAGCAGCAGCACAAACTTCAGTTTATGTTGACGTAGGGCTGCCATCGCGCCACATGAGGCAGAGGCATGGAGCAAAAGCAGCCGCAACGCATACAACACATAAACACACACACACACACACACACACACACACACACGAATATATGATATTTTGTAGAGTTGAATTGAAGGGATTATTAAAATGAACATGTGAACTTAATACGATTATTAACATAACAAATACATTTAGCTAAAAGAAAACCAAATAGAATGCATCATAAGTAGCTGAACTAGTTTACACCCGAAAAAGAACGAATTGAACCACATTTTCAAACTCTATTTAGTTTATTTAGATCAAGAATTAAGTCGTATTTCGTTCCGGTAATTAACATCAAAAATAATAAGCATTTAAAAAAAACTGAAAAGAATGCATCATGAAGAGCTGAACTAGTTCACGACTAAAAAAGAACGATTTGAACTTGAATTCCCGACTCTATTTTGTTTGCCTTTTTTTCCTATTGCCCTTTGGCATGCGCAGCTCCAACTCAAAAATGGCGTCGCTGATCAAGTCAAACGGGCAGCGCTGCGCCCACGTCCCAGGCTGGCGCAGTAGCTGCTCTCTCCCTCTCTCTTTCTGCTCGCTCCCAGTAGCGCTCGCTCTCTCAACATTGGCATTTTCTTTTGCTTTTACACAATTTGTTTTCGTTCTTCGTTTTGTTGACATACCCAAAAATGTACTATCTTTGTTGCTTTTGCTTTTGCTTTTGCTGCTGCCGTTGCTGTTGTTTTTGTTGTTTGCTTGATTGGCGGCCCTGTCTGTTTTCTACGTCTTCGTCTTTGCTTGCACCAGTGTGCGTGTGCGTGCGTATGCGTGTGTGTGCCTGTGTAAAATTGTGTATGTACATACATATGTATGCAGGCCAGTGCACATTGCACTCGAATCGCCGTTTTCGCCGCCAACGTACGCTGCCGCTGCTGTAGTCAATTGCGTGGTTAATGCTAATTATTTGTTATTCTACAGTCGCAGCGTTGTTTTTGTTGCCGTATTCCCAAAAAAAAAAGTAAATAAAAATAAGCAGACAAATGCAATTGGGAAGACACGCACAAGAGACCGAAACGTGCAATTGCTGGCGATTTCCGGCTGCACACCAGCGCAACAGATAGCACTTAGAAAGGGACTGTACCACAAAAATACACACACATACATACATACACACAGATATCCTAAGCGTATTTATAAGTTACGATCATAAATGCAAAATAAACACATTTCTTACCAATATGCGTGTCAATTTACATTTTCGTTGGCATTCCTCTTACAATTGTATAGCTAATATATTGAAACTCAGAAAATAATTAAATATTTTAACGGACTTTTCTAATCAATTTTAAGCAATTTTCAATAAATTTAACACACGTGACGCGCAAACGCAACTCGTTTAATAAGCGGATTGCGGCGAAAAGAATAAGCGAAAGAGCAAGCGAAGAAAAGTGCAAACTAAGATCCGTTGCTTTTTGGACGGCGACTTCGCTTTGCAATTAAAGAGAGCGAAAATCGTATAAGAACGAATACAATTAAATGCGTTTCTTTTGTGTTGGCAATATTTAATTGCTTCGTTATCTGTGTTTTCATTCGTGAGGGAAAGGAAATGCTTTGTTTTTGCAAATGCAAAGATGAATTTATAAATACATTGCGTTTGCTACATTTTTGCTGTGAGAGAGTAAGTGAGTAAGAGAGCGCAAGGTTGTAGGAATGCAAGGAAATTGGCTTTACATTGTTATTGCAGCGAGGAAGTGACTTTTGCTCTGCTATGCAATAACATTTTCCCTAAATAACAGAGTAAGAGAGAACACGAGAGAGTGCAAATAAATTACATTTGCTCTGCTATTGCAATTGTCTTTGCTGTCAATGCAGTTTTATTCGACTCACAGATGACATTGATTAAATGTCAGTGGTAAAATATATTTTCTAATGTGCAATGTGTGTGTGTGTGTGTGTGGCACTTGGATTGTAATTAATGGGCCGTAATATTTATTCAATAGCAAAGATACTCTGTCCTAAGACCACTCAAGATTCGGCCGGGCTTAATAGCCGCTGCCACTCAAAAGAACGTCATCCCGGCTCTACCCTGGCAAACCAACAGTGTTGTTGTCATTTTATACATATATATATATATATATGTAATTTTCTTTTTACTGTGCATACAACACGTCTTAAACAATGCAAGACAATTTTTCGGCCACTTGTCAAAATAATTTGCGCCTGTTGAGTAGACTTGGCCAAGAGAATATTCACGTCTCTTGGCCAAACAGTGAGCTGCTGCTGGCACTACCTGCCGTGCAATTGTTGACTTAGTTGTTGGCAGTTGAGAATGAAAAATGTGTGAAAATGTTTTAAACAAACCGATTGTGTGCAGTGCAGCAAACAGTTGAGGGAGCCCAAAACAGGTAAAACCAATAACACAGATCTGGCTACCAAAGCTGGAAGCTTGCCAAAGGTGTATATTAATGCGATTATGCCTGCGCAATGCGCTTTCCAACACTTGTCGCTACAAAAATCTCGAATTGAAAAATTATCACCTGTGCCGGGTCGAACAATAAATTCAGTGGAATCAATAGTTCAATAACCCATCAATAGAAGTAGCAACAATAGGAAACCAAGAGAATGACGGAAAATTATGGCACACACAAAAAGGATAAACGAGGCACACACGGAGATCGCTGAGCAGGCAAAAACCAAAACGAATGCACAAATTGATTGCTGCTTCTGTTGCAGGGGCGACGACGGCGACGGCGGAGGAGTCTTATGGTTGTTTTCCCTGTGCGTGCAGGACGCGAGCAACAGGATACACAGGCACACACACACACATGCGGGACGCATCTCGGCAGAAACCCTGGGAAAAGTTAACTTTTTGATTTGAAGCAAAAGAATCACATGAAAAGTCACACGATTGCGTTCCAGAAGGACAGACTGTTGCGGATAGAAACATGTTGCAAGTCAGTCGAAAATTGGAGAGGAGGGGGCGAGCAGCAGCAGCAGCTGAAATGCGGCAGGTTGCATCAATAGCCCCTGGCTTGGGAAAGAGGATAATGTGTAGATGAAAGGTGCACAGAATTGGGCATATTCGGATAATCAGTATACGATCAATTATTGCGGTTTCTCACAATGCGATAATACGCGAGACCCAACATTCAATCTACTTATATACTAAACACGATCTGTAAGCTTGGGCGTATAAGTGTCCTAAGCTAAGACAAGAACCCCACTGTAAACGAAAGCACGCAAAAAGCTTAAGCGGCAGAAAAATCTGCCAAGCGATTCGCCAAAATATTTGCGTGTCCAGATCTGCTCTACATAAAATCGTTATTTAAAACATATATTATAAGAGTTGAAATGAATTAATCATAATTTATTAAATGAATATTGGATTATTACATATACATATGCATATATTATTTTTAGAATATTAGCATCGAACCTCGCCTAGTAGCACCTCAAGTACCTTCATACGAGCAAAGTGAGCTGGACTTATTTGTAGATAAGCCCCAAACGCTCTGCAGAGAGCTTTGCTCAAACAAAGTATATACGCGCCAGCTAACCACGTGTCTTCTTCTGGTTCCTCAATTTACCTAATCAACACACAAGCCAAACAATAAATAGTAAATAAATAGAACGACGCCGGAGACAACGCATTCTCTCCAGAGCAGTTGTTGTTTGGTGCCAGCTTTGAGTAGACTTTTGCGCGAAAATGGCGACTTATCTGTGCCAAAAATAAGCAAAGTGAGCGAAATACATTTGCACATTGTGTGCGAACATAGCGGCAGCTTTCGGCTCCCAGTCGAGCTGATTGGTCGGCCGTCAAATTCGCGACTGGAGAGCCGAATCGCAATTTCGCATTTGCAAACTTCGGGTAGCGTCGGGAGCTTTCGGCTCTGCCGAAACGCGAGACCGAGTGAAAGATAGAGAGCTCTTATATGCTATACCCTGTGCAACCAAAAACGCTAAAGGGTTAAGCAATGCGTACCAAATGTTGCAATCGCCAGTGACAGGCAGCTCGCGTATTATAATTTATTTTGTATTATGTGAAAAATATTGTTTCAACAACACAAAGGTATGTCAAATATTATGCGTGCAGTCATTATAAAGCTTTAAGAAGCATGTGTTTAGTTGTTACAGGGTATGGAAAAGTCATTGACTGTGAAATTTAGCACGTTTGTTATTGTTATTGGCGTGTGTTTTTTGCGTTTTTTGCCGGCATTTTGCTCTTGAATTTTGTTTTCGCAGTATTTCAAGTTCAAGTTTAGGGACGGCGCCGCGAGGCGTGCGTCTGCTTTCTGCTTATGTTGTTGTTCTTGTTGTTGAGTGTTTTTTCATAGTTGTTTTTTTTTTTAGCTTTTTAACGTGCTTTCCGTCTATTATAGTACATAACACGCCCGGGTTCTGCGGTTGACGTAACTTGTTGCGCCTGTTGTTGTTGTGGGCGGGAGAAATTGCGCAGAATATTGCGATTAAAAACAAAACAACGCCTTGAACTACATACATATGTAGCTCAATAAATGGCCAAGCAATCAGTTACACATTTACATGTGCTCGTCATTTCTAGCATTGAATAAGATCTTCCGCATATACATACGTATAAATATATCCAGCACACACACACACACACACACACACACACATACACACAACTTGCAATCGTTTTGATGGCCCTGGCACAGCTACAGCGACGAAAACAACAAACTTAATTAAATTTGTTTTCGTTGTAAACAACAGAATCGCTGTCACAAAACACACGCACACAGGCACACACATTTACATTTACTTACATTTTGTTTTTTTGCCAGCAACAACAGAAGTCTAACAGTGCTTCTTCTTCTTCTTCTTCGTTGTTATATTTTTCGCTGTAAACAAAAATTGTGTAATAATTAACTGACCCTGAAAAGTTCTACAGATACCCGAGAGACCAAATGGCGGTTCTTGTTTTTTGCTTTTTTTTCATTTTAATATTTTTTTGTTTTGTTCATATTTTGTTGTTCCTATTTGCAAAATGCTTTTTTGGTTTCGTAGAATCGGAGAGCGTCAATCTAAACGTTCTCCGGCCCTTTGCTTGATAATTTTATGCTGCTCGAGAGCTTTTGCAGCCCTCCGGTCCCCACGCCCTCTCCTCCACAGTATACGTAACTAGTTGTTGTAATGTAAACTTTATTCGTTTTGTTTTTTTGCTCAATTCCATGAGTCAGTTTGTGTCCGCTTGTATGTATGTGTATGTGTGAGCTTGTATATAGCAGTTTGGTATATAGCATGGCATATGAGTACATATGCACACACACACACACATACATGGACTTATGTATTTGGGAGCTTTTACCGCCTCTCTGGCGCTTTACTCAGAATTAGTTTCAGAAACGCAATCCAGAGACAGAAACAAAATTAGTCGGCCGGCAGGCAGACAAACAGTCCGACCCCATACCCAGACCCTTGGCCAATTTTGTCGTAACTTGGCTCAAGGTCAGCTCAAGTCGTCCACAACCACGTCCAATCTATCCGAACCGCCGCCAGGTCTTACATGGCTTAGCATAGACTTGCATAGATCCACAAATAAACTGAAAAGAAGAAAAGCTAGCTTGTAAGCAACTCGCGCAACTTGTAACCTCAACTCGGACTGAATTTCTGATTATTCTAGCCATTTCGCAGAGTGGCCGAAACGTCGCGAGTTTGTGAGTAGAACCAGTTTAAGAATCATCGAGCATTGGCGAAATGTGCGAAATGACAGTGAGAAAGTGTGACACGTGGCAAAAAAGTTTGCAAAAATGTGCAAGTGAAAACTTGTCCAGAGATCAGCTATAACCTCGCGCGATATATGTATCATATATATATATATCAACTATCAACTGTTAACTCTTCCCGATCTGTTCAACTAATTCTATCAGCTGCGAATACCCTGCAACGGAAGAAGGTATGTTATGGTTGTGCTGCAAAAGATATACGTCGCATGTCACCGCTCCCTCCTCCTCCCCACAGCCATCGACCCGTTGATATTCCCCTCTGTGCTCAAGCCTTAAAAATTCTCATTGTGCTGGACTTGAAAATTTCGTTCACATTCAAATTGCTAAAAATAGACGCTGGGAAATGTGCGTGTGTGTAAATTGTATTAATTTTTTTTTTTTTTTTGGTAAAAACATGGAAAACGCACCCCATGCGCCGCACTGTTTGCTGTACTTCAATTTTGTGTGTGTGTTTTTTCCACATGTGCAGCAAACTGCAACACTCGAGTGGCGTTGGCGGCACAAATGGCATTGCCAGCGACTAGGGCCAGGGGCAGGGCCAGACTAGCTGATATATGTATGCATGCATATGTATATGTACAAGCAGCTCGTCGCCTGCGTGGGCCCTATTTTTAGAAAGTGCATGTTTGTGTGTGCTCATTTGTGAATGCAGGCGAAATTAACGCGACCAAACAAAATGGCCGCCAATGCAAAGTCAAAGTTGCCGGCGCAGCCGCAATGCAACAATGCCAGTGCCAGTGCCAGTGTTCACGAACAACGGCCATATGCACACACTCAGCGAAAAAAGGGGGCTCTTTGGTGAAATTTGTTTTTAGCAATTCATAAGTGAAGTTCAAATGAAGCTTGTTGAGCAGAAAAATCGACTTGAATAAGGTGAAAAACACGTATATGGAAAATTTCGACTAAAAATGTTTTCAAAGGAGCTTTATTACAAGAAATTAACATACAAAACAAGAAATGTTTTTTGACTAACAGTGTTACCTTTTTAGCTTAAGAAATGTTGATTAACACTTGATTTGCGTACAAAATTCTTGTTCTTTTTTCTTCGAGTGTATTTGTATTCGTAACTGTGTCTGCTTCAGTTTCTATGCCTGCGCTTCAAATATTTATGCCCGCCTCTCGCTCTCCCATTACCGCCCCCCCCCCCCCCCCTCCCCGCCCCAGCGTATTCCACTCTCTTCTTCTATCATTGTCTCTGCTTGCTTTCGCCTAATTTTTCGTACGTTTTTTATTCAATTCCCCGTCAAATGTTGCCTTTTGCTATCTCCGCATGTATCTGCATCTGTGTGTACTATCTGCCAGTGTGTGTGTGTGTGTGTGTGCGCATGTATTTGTGTCTTCGTCCGCGCTGCCGTTGCCGCGTTGCAAAAGTGCAATGACCCATGCGTAGCGCGAATGAGCGCCCCCAACCGCCCTTCCAGCCATTCCACCGGCCCTGCCCTCGACGCCAACACGACGTCGCTGCCGTCGACGCAGCTCCGGTTCTATGCCTACGTGCTGCTTTCCATACACACACACACACACGCAACACACACACACACACATACACACACGCGCGCTTGAAGTTGCAGCAAAATGACGCGCGCGATAAATTTCCAGAGTTTTCAATACCTCTGCTTTTCGTGATGTTGTTACACACACGCACACACACACACACACACACACACACAGTGAGAGGCACACATTTTTCGTTTTTCTAGTTTTGTTGCATTTTTATTAATTTTGTTCATTGCTGCAGTTTTGTTTGTTTTCTGACTGTTGCTTTACCCACACACACACACACACACACACACACACTCACACATGCACACAATTACAGGCACATATACATAAACATGTTTATATACATACACATAAAAATAAATATTTGGTAGATATTTCGTATTTTTGCCCTTCCGCCAGTCGAATTTCGAATAAACATTTGTCAGTCAACCAAGTGGAGGGAGAGGTAGGGGGGGAGGGGAATCTAGTATAATATCTCGATGTCTGCATCGTTCCCTGCACCTAATCAAATGAATATAAAATCTATTTGCTACATTTTTATAGCCTAAGCTAACTTCACGTATTTTTTTTTCTAAACAATAAATCATTTGATTATTTGCAGTTTATATCATATAAACTGTATTCACTGTAAGTACAGTGAAAGCTGTATCAACGGACAGAGATTCAACATTTCATCATTTTTCGAGAAATATTTAAAGTTTTTTTTTCTCTGCAAAAACTGTTTGTAGCGCGAATAAACCAATTTGTAATAGAAAATATTTAAAAATTAAATTTCAGAATAAATTTGCAGCTTGCTTGCAATTTGAGATAGTTTGCGATTTGCCTTTCATTCAAGGAAAAATTACAAAAAAATTGTATGAAAAATTGAAAAAATATTTTCATGAAGATATTACATAAGTTTTTTGGCAAATCTGTTAGCTTCCAAGTCCGACGTTTCTGTCCGTGTGGTTTCTAATTTTCGCATCCATTAGCAGCGTATTGCAAATGCGTTTTATGGCCAGCCCGTGCTCGGAGTTGGGTTCGAGCTCGGGTTCAAGCCGGAACGGAGACTGAGCGCTAACCTGTGCGCTGCAGGTCGCCCATTGTCG